TGTGTAACATACAGGTCTTGCTGAAATTGGGAGGAAGCAGATCCATACAAAGGAAGAACCAGAGGCATAGGATTGGAAATAAAGGACATGGTCATTCTTTTGATCATAGTGTATAATCAATCCATAAACCTTTATTGAATGTGTCCCATGGCCAAATACTTAACAGTGTGCATCAGGTAATATAAATGATAACAACAAGACAGCTTATTCTTTTTTCCTTTTTGTCTCTTTTTTACTGACCGGCAATGGGATCGCAACCCTCGGTGTTGTGTCCGCACCGCACTCAGCCAGTGAGCGGGAACCGGTCTCCACATGGGATCCGAACCCTCGGCGGGAGCGCCGCCGTGCTCCCAAGCGGCACACTCTCCAGTGCGCCACCGGGCCGGCCCAAGACAGCTTATTCTTATATAGCCCTTATTCTTATACATACGATGTGCCAGGTGTTCTGTGTGCTTTTGTGAGTATTAACTTATTTAATGCCTATGCTAACTCCATGAGTAAGTACTTTTACCATCTCAACTATACAGATGAGAAAACTGAGGCTCAGGGAGGTTAAGCAACTTGCTAAAGGCTACATGATTAGTAAGAATTGGAGCTGAGATTTGAACACATGATTTTGGAGTTTGTGCTTTAACCACTACGTAGTACTATATAAGATGTGGCTCCTGCTGTCAAGGATGAAGGAAGAGCTGCTTGAAAAGATAAGATCTAGAAATTTGAAGAGATAAGTAAAAGTAAAAAGCAGGGCATATTTAATCTCAAATGAATGAAATGATTCAGTGTTCTCTCAAAGGGGAGTGTGCATACCCCAGGGGGTATATAAGACAGACCCACTGGAGTGCCAGAAGAAAAAACTGGAATTTATGTTTATACTTGTATTACCAGTTCACTGAATAGCCCAAACTTCCAGTACAAGCTCTTCATCATGAGAACACCGATGATGATATAATTAGATCCTATGAGACACAGCCAAAAAGCAGGAAATTATCAAGATCATTATATGAAATATGGATTGACATCTCTACTGTCATTAGCTAAGGTCTCACGGGATGATGTACACACAAGGGAGGACTTTCATCACTGCCTTAACGGGCGTGATTGGAGTAATGAGTGAGGGCAGTAGATGGGGGTCACGTGCCTCTTGTGCTGTCTGGGCACTGACAAGAACCCCTGCTCTCAAGTACCTTATGTGCTGGGTGGGAGGACAGATAATAAATAAGATAAACCAGGAAATATGTAGTGTGTTAGGTGACAGTATATGGTGAGGAGAAAAATAAAGCAGGGAAAGGGGTGGGAAGAATCAGAGAAAGAGTTTCCAGTTTTTAGATAGGATATCCACACCACGTGAGGGGGAACTCTGAGTCACTACCTGGAGGAGGTAAGGGAATGCACCACATGGTGAAAAGCATTCCACACACACACACGCACATGCACACGCACACGCACACGCACACGCACACGCACACCAAGCAAGCTCAAAGACTGTAAGGTGGGGACATAGCCTGGGAGGTTGAAGAAGAGCAAGGGGGTCAGTAAGACTGGAGCCCAGCGAACAAGGAGAGTGACAGGAGACGAAGCAGAGAGATGGTGGCGGTGGCGTGTGTGTGCAGATGTGTGCGCAGGTCCTTGTAACCATACAAGGACTTAGGCTTCTACTGAGTGAGGTGGGAAGCCACCGGACAGTGTGAGCAAAGAAGCTGGATCTGGCTCATGCTTCTAGAGGCTCATTAAGGCTGCTGCGTTGGAAATACATGGTAGGGAAGAAAGGGCAGAAGCAGGGATACCAGCTGGAAGGCCCAGAGCAGTTTTCCAGGAGAGCGCCGATGGTACCTGGAGCAGCGTGTGAGCAGGACAGATGAGGGGAAGGCGCTGACGTGGGATATGATTTGATGGTAGAACCAACAGGATTCACTGAAGCTTAGGTAGTAGGAGCTGTGTGAAAGAGACTAATAGTACAAGGGTACTTCAAAAAGTTGGTGGAAAAATAGTATTAAAAGATAATACAAAACTTTCCATGAACCTTTTGAAGTACCCTTGTACCTATGCATTATTTATTCAGAAAAGCGTGTCCATTTGGGATAAGTGCTTAACACCTTTTATTTATAGGGATGCAGATGAAGTGTAGAGGCCACTGGAATGATAGTATATAGTCTGTGGGGATTCTGAGGACAGAGAGACACTCAGGGGATGGCAGTCAATGTTGAACTTGGTTGGGCCTTGAAGAATAGAGAGGACTCAGCAGGTAGAAGGGCCCAGGGTGTGCTCAGGTCAGTAGGGAAGAGGATGGCTCTGTGCCAGGCCTGTTCTAGTCCATCTGCCTGGGGCTCTGAATACAGTCTTCAGAAGGGTGCAGGAGGCCGGTTTGTCCTCCCTTGAACTCCAAGTAGAGCAGTTTAGACCTTTTCTTTAGTCAATGGCGAGCGATTGGGAGTTTTGGGCTGGGGTAGTAAGTGGTGGTGTGAGTTTGCTTCAACAATTTGCTCCTCTTGCAAGCTCTGAATGAGTGCCGTTGGGTAATCAGTTACTGTCGAAAGGTTTAACTTCCTCCTGGAGGATGATTTATTTACTAAATGGGACCAGGTCAAGAGTTGGATATATATATGTGTATGCGCACACACATGCATGCATGCGTGTGTGTGTGTGTGTGTGTGTGTGTGTGAGAGAGAGAGTGTATGAGAGTGATTTCGTGGGACTTAAAGTGCTTGCTGTATAACAAAAATAAATGTTTCTGATTACATGGCTGAATTTTAAAAAGCTTTATCTATATTTCATAAAGTAGTTAAGATGTTTTGGTGAATGTTACTTAATTGCTTTTCCATTCACTGGGTAATGGCATGGGCTTGCCAGTACGCATCTGCACAACCCTGCCTGGCACTCCGAGATGCTGAGCTTGGAGGGCCCTGGGCATAAACAGTACGGCGGAAGTAGCCTTTCCCTGTCTGTGTTTGTAAGACAGTCTCTTTCATGCCAGAAGAACTATTTTGGGAGGGTGATTCATGTCACATTTTGGCCTCATTACAGTTTGAAGTTGTAAATGGTGCCGGTTTGCCTGGAGGTGTAAACGTAAATTTTATCTCCATATACAAATGCAAATACCTGTAACCGAAAAAGTACTTTCTATTCTTGTGTTACAGTCTAGGCTATAAACAAAGAAATTAACAAGATCTTTATCAAAATTCTAATTTGTTTATGAAAAGCATGCTTCCAAAAGAGTACAGTTACTTGCAACTGTGTCTCCATTCTCCATTTCCAAACACAGATGGAGAAGTCGAAGAACCTGATGTCTTATTGTTACAAGCAGATGATTCTGTAAAATAAACACTGTGTTTTCTCTTTCGAAATACTGTGAAAAGTGAGAACAGGTGTTAAATTACTGTCTTGCTGTCTGTAGTTATAAGTAACAGGAGGTACAAGATTATTCCAAATACATTTTAGGTGTGGATGATAAAGAAAGGTGAAGCCATTCTGATTATTCCAATTTGCTTTCTGGTAAATAAAGTACTATTAAAAGGACATGGCAAAACTTCTTTATTTATTCAGTGGTTAAAAATGCTTGATGGTGATAGAAATGAGATGCACTTAACACCTGGGTTTGTTATTATGCCTTGTGCACAGCAGCGCCTGAAAAATTTTTATTGATTTGCCCCAAATAAATGAGTTTGAGTGCAGAAAAAATGGGTTTGAAATGTGGCTGGATTTTTCTATGACTCCCGAGGAATTTTATATCCTATTTAAAAAATTTAAAATTGGCAAAATAGTATTTATTTTTGAATTTTAAATGGCAGAAGTGAAAATAGAAAAAATAACAAAGATAAATGAATGCTAATGAATTTGTTGTTGTTTGCTATAAGAATATTCTGATGGCAAAATTTTTTGGATAAAAAGACATTCTTTCTGATCCACTGATGGTGAGACACATATCCCTGCCCGCCTTGAACATGTGTTTTAAAAAATTATTTTCTGGTCCATCTGTGGTTGTGCTTTCCATTTGGACCTTATGACTCATGCCATTTAGGGAGATTTATTCATGTTTAAGTGAGATTCCTCAGTCAACAATAAACCAAATGCATTGCCAAATCTTATTTGATTCTAAAGTGGTGTTTTGAAAAATATTAGTAATTTGAGAGAGCTTAAACAGCTTTGACAATTCAACTGAATCCAGCCTTGTGGCAAAATCTGGCCTTGAGTTGGCTTGTCCTGCTAGAATCTTCCTATGACAAGTGACACCTATTTTTATTTTTTTTCTTCTTATCTGCAACTTCTTATACTTTCTCTAGTTTATTCAGTGACTGCCTCATTCACTAGCCTGGGTCTCTACGTTCAGAAATGTGAATTTAGTGGTTCTGGGGTGGGTTCTGACCACTTACATTAAAAAACAAAACAAAAGCAACCAAAGAGCTCTCCAAATTTTGATGCTCTAAGGGGACAACTAGTAACAGTTAAAAAAAATGGCAAGGTTTGAAACCCAAATGTCAACATAGACACTGCTATGATCTGAATTTTTGTCTCCTCCACAGTTCATGTGGGAGCTTGATTCCCAGTGTGGCAGTGTTGAAAGCTGGGCCTTTAAGATGTGATTGGATCATGAGAACTATGCTCTAATGAGTTGATGTATCCATTCATGGACTAATGGGTTAATATCATGGTTGTGGACTGGTGGCTTTTTAAGGAGAGCAAGTGAGCACATAAAATCACTCTTCCCCCTCCTTGTGATGTGACACCCTGGGTCACCATGGGACTCTGTAGAGACTCCCCACCAAGAAGGTCCTCAACAGATGTGCTCCCTTGACCTTGGACTTTCCAGCCTCCAAAACTGTAAGAAATAAATTTCATTTCTTTATAAATTACCCTGTTTCAGGTATTCTGTTATCTGCAACAGTAAAGCAACTAATACAGACACAAATTTAACTGTGGCAGATCTATGGTGTGACGGTGAAATTAGAGAACTGCCAACACTTAAATGAACTGTTGCTGTATTTCACATTTCCCCTTTTGTCTTCTCAGCCATCATGTATGTCATGGGAGCACTTGGCCCTGCAGTGGGATATTTACTAGGTGGACTTCTTATTGGTTTTTATGTTGATCCGAGAAATCCTGTTCAACTTGACCAGAATGACCCTCGTTTCATTGGGAACTGGTAAGAATTATCTTCTAAATTTTTCATTTTAGTTTTTACTAACGATAGTTAGAATCTTAATACCCTTGTAGTTAGCATCAAATTTCCCCAATGGGAAGTTGAAAAATAGCTCAAAATCACCTGGGAGGGTGTGGTAGGCAAGATAATAACCCCCCAAAGATGGCCATGTCCTAATTCCCAGAATTTATGAATATGTTTCCTTACATGGCAAAAGGGACTTTGCAGATGTAAGTTAGTTAAGGATCTTGAGATGGGGGGATTATCTTAGGTAACCTGGGTGTGCCCACTGTAATCAAAGGAAAGAGGGAGGCAGGAAGGCCAGAGTCAGAGGAGGAGATATGATGGTTAAAGCAGAGGTTGGAGTGATGTGCTTTGAAGATTGAGGAAGGGGGCTGTAAACCAAAGAATGCAAGTGGACTCTGGGAGCTAGAAAAGCAAGGACAGGGGTTCTTCCCTAGAGCCTCCAGAAGGAATGCAGCCCTGACAACCAATTTTAGATTTCTAACCTTCAGAACTATAAGATAGTCAATTTGTGTTGTTTGAAGCCACCAAGTGTGTGGCAACTTGTTATAGCAGGGATAGGAAACTAATACAGAGGGTTTGGTGACTGTGGCTTGATCTGCATTCTCCAGAATGGGGGTGTTTCCTTCACAGCAGAATGAAGGAAAAGGGCTATTGTGGCCATGTGGAGACTTTTCTGTTTACTTGAATCATACCATTCGTTATCTTTTCTGTGCCTTTTAAAAAATGCTTTCTTTCCACTTCCTTATTGTATTTGTGTTTCTGCATTGCAACCCTCTCCCACTGCCCAGAACTCTAGCCCTACTTTTCTATCATCCCACTGTTAGTGAGTCTTTATTTCTCAGTAATATTTTGTTTCCCCATGTGTGCTAGAGACTTAGCTGCTCTCTTATTTGCTAGACCTTAATTGTCCTGCCAAATAAGTAATGGTTAGGACTCAGAATGAGAACTTCAACTTTAGATGTTATGTTATTTATCCAGATAACCAGGGTTGTGTTTGAATTCTTCATAGTCCTCAACTTAAACATAAGTTACTTCTTCATGATTGCAAGCACTAGCTGAAATTATTGGTGCCCTGAATTTATTTCACATGGATTAGTAATAGGTATATACATTGATAAGAAATTTTAATTTTCTAACAAGGAGAATACTTCAGTATTATAAATTATATGTGTCAAGTAATTACTTTCTAAAGAGTTCCTTTGAGTACTTTGTTCTCTGTGTCTCATTACAGGATAATAATCTCATAACTCTGAGGTTGGTGGAAATAATGTTTAATACTATTTTCAAAGAAGTTAACAAATACTAAGTTACACAATACTTCTTGTTTTCATAAGTAATGCTCTTTGAAGTTGGAAGTGCTGAGATCAAGATGAGCCTGGCCTGGAAAGATTTTCAAACCATATAAAAAAGGAGTTCCCCTGTCAGTGTTAGGGGAATAACACAGGAATTTTAAGTTCTTAGTTCTTGACTAATAATGAAATTTTTGGTCTCAGCTGTTTTCTTTGCAGTTCTGAAACAAATCAGAGTAAGGATTTTTTTTTATTGCTGGAAATCTAGATTATTAAAATGTATTTATGAACCTTCAGCATACATTCTGTGTTCTATATAGATGTCCATGAAAAGGGCATGGTGGTAAGGGAACAGCTGGAGGGAAAAGGTGAGGAGAGCCAAGTCAGGGGCAGGGGGAAGGAAGGAGGAGGGCAGGAGCTTCAGTCTTGTGAGTGTTTTATGCTGTCTTTTAAAAGTTTTCTAGTAGACATTAGTCCAACTGGTAGCAAAATGGAGTGATTAAGGGGTGCAGACCTTGAAGCCACAGTCCCCTGTGTTTAAATCCCAGTCTGCACCTTATAGCTATGTGACCTTGGGTAAGTCACTTCTGTGTGCCTCAGTTATTTTCTTCAAGATTAATAAAAGGAGTTAGTTACAGTACCTACTTCATAGGGTTGTTGTGATGAATGAATGGGTTTTATATGTAGAGCTCTAAATAGTTCCCACTATACAGTGTGTGTTAGCTACTCATCTTTTGAATGTAGTCAATGTTCAAGTAATTTTATCCTTTTTCATGGATCAACATTAGTTCTATAAATGATAAAGCTTGACAGTATAGAAACATATAATAGGAGTCTATTTAAAATGAATTTGAATTTTGTTTATTGAGTAGTCCTATTCGTAACAGATTTCTACTTTGAACAAAGATATAGTTATTTGATACGGTGTTATTTTATACAGTACCTAGCAGCAACAGCAGGTTTTCAGTAAATATATGCTGAAGGAGTGAAGGGAGGATGCATGAATAATGCCAGTATTTATTGGGTGCTTACTGTGTGACAAGCATTACACGAAGAGCTTTATAAACACTCTCGTTTAAGCTCTGCAACAACCATGTGTAGTTACTAATACTATGCCCATTTTGCAGGTGAGGGAATTGATGTTCAGGGAGTTGAACAACTTGCCCAAAGCCTCAGAGTCAATGAGAGCTGGGATGAGAAACTGACCACAAGGCGGAGCTCTTAGAAAATATACTTAACTGGCCCCCCTTAGTGAATGGTCTCTGGGTAATGGTTCATGAAAGGGATTTAGGTACCCTGGCTTTTCAATCTTAGCTATTATTGATGTGTCTTTTTCCAACATATAATGCACACTTTCTTGTCTTTCTCCGCTTCTCCCAGTGTCCTCTTTAGCCCCATCATGATATCATGTGTTAAATTGATGTTACTGGAGACTGTTGAAGAATGTGGGCTGGTTTGCTCTGCTTTGAAATGACCCCAAACTTTTATTTTATTTTTTATGTTATTGTTGTTTGCTATGATTCTTTCCCTTCTTCTGTTGAGTACTCTCACTTTGGCCTATTATGAGTGTATCTTTAATGTTTGCATATAATTTTAAGTCAATGGCCAGAGGTGGGGGGTACAGGAGGCTGAGTACAGATCTACATAAAAACCAAACCAAATCAACAAAACCAGCTACCACAAATTAATAGCTGATTTGGGGGCAGGCATTTTAATAGGTCTATTACATACATTGTCTTATTTAATTTTGATGACCCCCCAAAAACTCTTATTATTCAGCCCCCCCGTCAGATGAGAAGGATGATTTGGAAAAACAAAATAATTTCCCCAAGATCTCATAGTAAGCAGTAAAAACAGGATACAAACTCAGATTTATGTGAAACCACAGCTCCATGGGCAGGCTCCTACACCACTGCCTGCCCTCTTCTGGAGAGAGCGTGAGAGGTCTAGGGAACTTAAGGGGTTCAGGGGACTTGAATGTAGAGAATATAGAGTTTATGTGCAGGGCCTGACTGCTAAGGGTCATCTACTCAGCCAAGTACTGAAGGGGCCAGACATTATCATAATCATAGCGATGTTCTTGCAGACAGATGACTTTTTTTTTTTTAAACATATCTCTTTCAATTTGTTTATTCAGCAAATGTTTTGAGGACCTAATTTTGAGGACCTAATCTGTGTCAGGCACTGGGGTGGTGATTATATTCCGAATAATTGAGATTGCTAAACATCTGCCCTGAGGAATCTTTTCAAAATAAAGCCCTTTTCTGATTATCTTAAAATCTTTATTTGACATAACTTTGAATATCCTTGAAAATAGTACACTGGATTTTTAGTGACTGGTTCTAGGAATCATTCTCTCAACAAAACTGTGACCTTTAGCAGCTGATAACAGCACTTTTATAGAAACATTGTTTTTTAAAAATGAGTTTTCACTTTGCAATGGATCTATATTCTTACTGGATTGAGTTCAACATTAATGGTTAGATACTTCCAGCATTCTGGTTACAACTGACAGGAGCATGTTGATACAGAGGACAAAGTCTGGGCATTTATAAATTTGGAAGCTTTAAGGGCAATCTGGAGTTGAGGAAGCTTAGTTAGAATGTTAGGTAGGACCAGAGACCTCTGCTTGCTAAGGAAAGGTTGATGGGGGACTGAGAAATGGCCCCATGGGGAGTTATGCAGGCAAGATGCCCAAGGCCTTCACCATGGCGCTTCTCCAGGACTAGAATTTGCGTTCTACTCTGTATTTGCTTCCCAGCTCTCTGTATAGCTGAATGAAATTCATCTAAGCAACCTCAGATGAATTAAAGGACACAATTAAAGCCCAAGTCCTACTTCTCCTAGGAAGTTTTCTGACACACACTAATTTCTTCTCTCAACTTTTAGAGCATTCATAATATATACTGCATGACCTAATATTTAATTGTATGCATTCTTGCATTTCTTGGAGATTGTTTCTTAATACTTTTGGCTTGCTCAGAACTAGGATGAAAGTTCTTGAAGGGAACAATCAGGTCTAAATGTCTTTGGTAGCTCTCATGCATAGTTAAGTATTGTGAGGGCTAGCGAAGTGTGGGGGTTGATGCATTCTTCAGTGCTTGCAGAAAAATATTTGAATATCCGTAGCAATTTAAAATATATTTGACACAAGATATTAATGCTTTTCTTCTAAGAAAATAGTGTCTCTGTTGGTCCAGAAACCATGCTTATAGAGTCTATATTATTTTTCTATTAAATTTATGATTTAGTGGCTTTTTATAAAACGCATATTGTAGCAGGGCTAATGATGGTAGTTAACAGAACTAACACAGAGATGCTCAAAGATGCTTGAATTGAATGAAATTCTAATCAGGCTGCTGATTATAATTTTCATTATAATACTAGTGTAATTATTGGGTAGGTTTCTCATTTATACCAGTGAAAGGAAGAATCTTTTTATTGTCCTAGTTTGTTCAACTTCCTAGGCTTTTCAATTGAGGAAGGTAAATAGTTTTCTCTGGAGAATTTTATCACCACAAACTTCTGCTTTGCTAATTTGTTCTCACTCATGATACAAAAGCCATAAATGCTATTCACATTTCCCAATTTTTTAGGTGGAGTGGATTCCTCCTTTGTGCCATTGCAATGTTTCTTGTGATATTCCCAATGTTTACTTTTCCAAAAAAGCTTCCACCTCGACACAAGAAAAAGAAAAAGAAAAAATTTTCTGCTGATGCTGTTAGTGACGACGACGTTATAAAGGAAAAATCAAATAATAATGAACAAGTGGATAAAAAAGTTTCTTCTATGGGATTTGGAAAGAATGTCAGAGGTAAAGTATATCTCATGAATGAATACATGCATGGTACTTCAGTGCTACTCAAATTGTGGTCCCGAACCAGCACTGTCCACCAACTGTCTGTAACAGGCCTGCAGCCAGATAAGTACGGAGACTGAGAATAAGTGTTGCAAAACATTTTTAGAAAATTTGACAGAGTAATTTTATGTCTGTTGAATCTAATAAACATAAAAAGTTGAGCTTATGTTTTATGTTTTTTAAGAAATAATTTTCTAATAATGCACTATTAATGTATTTTGCAAAAGTATCAGTAGATGACAGACTGGAAATAATAATTAAAAAATAGTTCTCCCTCACAGATGGTTTGAGAAGCACTGATTTAGATCATAAAGATGCAGATGTTTATATATATCATTTACTATAATGAAAGATGTCTGGTATATAGTATGCTTGTTGCATTGTATATTGGATGGTTTTTTCAGGAGAACAGTGGCTTTGGTAGTGTGGCCTGATGCTTACATAAGTATAAAATCTACCTCTAGAAAGGGTGGCTCTGTCAAATGCTTGTAAGTGGCTGTAGAGAAGGGTGGCCTGGGGATGGGCCTCCAAACCCCATATAAAAACATCCAGAAAGTTTCAGTGATGTACTATACTAGTCCTCCATTTTTTCATTTTTATTTCTCTTAAAAATAATGATTTAGTTAAAGCTAGATTAGACCATCTAAAACCCAAACAGTTTAAATTAATCTTAGCCAAGCAATCTTGGTTAGTATAGTATTCAGTTCAATGGTAATAAGTCCCTTTAATTCAAGAAACCTAAAATGTTATACTTCTGTTGGTTTTAGCCTTATTTTCTGAATTCTCTGAATTGATTTTTTTTTATATAAATTATGAAGCATAGTATATACCAAGTACTTGTATCAGTCAAGGGTGTTTTAGGTAGAATTTACCTAGGCACGTATCATCTCATTTTGACTATAGAAGAGAGTACACAGTAAGGCCAAAGAGGAACTTTTCAGGCCTAGAATAAAGTTGCTAATATATTGTAGACCTGTCCCTACACCCCAAGAATAATAACAGATTGGACCATTTTTAAAGACTATATTTGTTGAAAATAAGTGAAGTGATGTTTCATTGAAAATGCTTCTTCCCAGTTAAGTTTTAGATTTGGACCCCTCCCGCTCCCCCATTATTTTGTGACAGCGAGTATTTTTGGAACTTCCAAAATGACTTCTTATGCTCTAGTGGCATAAAGAAGTCTCTGGATGTAGCGTGGCCTGAGCACTTTCTATGTAGACCATCCCATCATTTTTCATAACTGTATTATGGACCATTACGGCTACTAGGAGTGATTTTTTTTTTTTTTAACAATTCAGTTGAGAGCAAGGTTGATGTTAAAGAATTTAAAATATAGTAATAGGGTTTTAATTTATGGAGAATATAAAGTAGACTCCAGGGCAGAAATAAAGGTACAGGTAAGATAAAATTGTATGTTTTATAGCTTAGGGGTAGATAACTTGAATGCGAAATATATGATCTATTGGATAGTAGAAAAAAAGATTGATGACAAATACCAACAGAGCATACAACTGCTGAGGGGAAAGAAGTTCTTCTGGAGGACTCAGTGTAGACAATGCTATCAACAGCCCATCCACATTCTTGGATGTTGCAATCTTCATGGTGGAAGTTCACTGCCAGAACCTGCATTATTTGCCTGAAGGTTTTCTTCCTGGGCTGGGAAAACTGCTTGGTTCCTGTTTAAGGCAGGCTTCAAGTACAAGGGATTGTCACCCCTGGTCTCCCATCTCCTGAAGAAGTCTTAACCAAATGACTGATGAACACCCTCAGCTCCTCCACCTCTTAAGTGAGACGGTTCTGGGGTGTGTGTCTATGCTATAGGCTGCCCTGTCTTCCCTGGCAGAATGGCCGTGCTCCCTGCCCAATGTTTCACGAACCTCCCAAGTAGATTACTTGGACTTGAATCCTTGTCTCAGGGCCGGCCTCTGGGGGACCTACACTTAGACATGCAGGATCAAAAGTGGTAAAAGCCATTACAGAATTTAAAAATGATGTTTGGAAATTGACTCAATACACTATTTTATTGGCTATTTCCTTGCTCTAGAGATTGCTGATATCTGTCTTTTCTATGTTCAATTTGATGGTTCAGGGTATTTTCTTTTAAAAGAAAGGATAGTGAAGTCTTTGAACAGTGATGGGTAGTTGGCTTATAAAATCTGTTTCTATTTTGATTTTCTTGTTAGTATTTCTGATAAATTCTCCTATTTTACTCTATGCCTTGATTATGATGACTGATCCCACTTCTGCTTCTTAACCGTCTGATGAGGACACAGAGCTGGTTGATTTTACTACTTCCACTTGTGCTGGATTCTCTAATCATATCTAGACTGAAACTTCAAGAGACATTTTATCTTATTAGAAAGAAATACTGTTTTAATGGGTTTATACCAAAAATGTTTTGCTAAAAATGATTCAAGTGATATTGACAATATAGAAATAATGTCCAATTCGAATATTTAAAATTAATTCACATTTATTTTGTACACAGTGACTTCGTTTAGAGTGTCTAACACATACCACATGTAGAAAGTGACATACACTTAATCTGATTTTCAGAAGGACAAATTAAATCCCTGGGATTCATCTGCTATTTATATAATTTGTATTAAAGAATGGTTGCTAAGATTTCATTCTTTGTTAAATCTGAGTTTGAGGCCCAGATCCTCTTTTCCCTTCTGTTCTCTAGAGCGGGGCTTCCTTTGGTTTTTATTTTATATTTGAAATTTGGATACCAGTATTAGCTCCTTCAAAGAGGAGGTGGAAAGATAGATAGCTTATAGTTGTTTAAAGAGAAAATGATTTGGGTCATACAGAACAGTGCACTTTTGGGAAGTTCTTTTGCAGAAAATGCTAGAAGAAAATATATCGTATTTTCCACTCTCCGCTTCCACATTTTAATGATAGACATTGGGAAAATCTGACTCAGTGTTTTCATATTCTTATTATAAATTATGCAGGAATGAGGCCGTTTTAAATCTCCGCAAAGGGGAAAGTAGAATTCTCAGTGTGTCTGCATTACCTTTCCATAAAGAGATTAGCATTTATTCCATCAAAATCATACCAATAAAAACAAATGCTTAAAATATTTAAGTGGATCAATTTTCCTGAGGTTTGAGTTCCAGCATTTTAAAGCCTTCCAATTTAACTGGGCATCTTTTTACATAGAAAACTTCTGGTGGCAGTTAATCATAAGAAAAATTTTATTTTTGTGTCCACTTTTAATCTTTTAAGCTTAATTGCTTAGCGTTATTAATTAGTGTAAACTACAGCAGATTTTTCTCTGCTAGAGTTTTGTCTGTGTTAGAATGCAATACATTTATAATCCTAACTAGTTAGGATTGCTCTGAGGTGATGAACTGATTTAAAGAGGCCACTGAAAGTTACAGAATTTTGTTTGCTAAAGGGTAATATTAGCATCATTAAATTCAAAGAGGGCTCACTCTATAGAAGGTGCCGTACTCCATGCTGTGGCACTTATGAAGATGGGTAAGCCACGGTTTGCCCTCAGAGACCTTAATGTCCACTGAGGGAGACAGGACAAGTACAGATGGAAATGCATTAAAGACCATAAAAGAGAATAGTCACATTGTGTGGAGGTTCAAAGGCCGGTGAGGGGACATCTAGCTGAGGGACCAGGAAAGGTTACATGAAGGAGGTGGGATTTGAAATGAACCACAAAAGACTGGGAGGATTTCAGTAGGTGGAGGTGGGGTGGCAGGAGTATTCCAGGCAGGGAGAGCAAAGTCCAGAAGGTAGGACTGCATGGACGTGTTTGAAATGCTGGAAGGAGTTTACGGTGGTTGGCATGGTGGATGTGTGTGAGGGAGGCCCGGAGGTAGGGCTGGGAAGGTGAGGGATGCTGTACTGTGGACATCATGGCTTCTTCCCTGGTAGGAGTGGGGAGGTTCCAGCAGGCGTTTGGCAGAACTCCATGAGGTAGATGAGGGAGGGAAAGGAGCTGTTGCAGGAGAGGGCCCGAGGGGAAAATTATAGACAGAGCCCAAGCGAGAGGTTTGGGCCGGTAGAGAAGGAAAGGCCAGCAGCCTACTAGCCTGGTCTCCTCCTGCCCTTACTCCTTTTCAACCTTCCACTCAGCAGCCAGAGTGACACTGTTAAAATGCCACTCCTGTGCTCAAACTTCTGTGGTTTTCTGTCTCACTCACAGACAAGTTCCCTTCTATATGACCTTCGTGGTCTAAGCCCTGGTAATCTCTTCGTCCCCATCTCCTTTTTTCAGTCCCATTTGTTTATTCTGCTTCAGCCACATGGGGCTCATCACTGGTCCTCAGACGTGCTGGGCATACTGTCCCCTTTGGGCCTGTGGACTCGCCAGTCCTGTGCTGAGCTTGCTCTCTCCGGGGCCCCTTGCTCTCTTCAGCACATTACTGTGTGGCCCTTGTTCTGTGAGGCCCTCCCTGGGCACCCTATTAAAAAATCTGCAGCTTCCCCTCCAAAGCTTTCTCTCTCCTTCTCTCCTTTGTCTTTCTTCTTAGCGCCACCACTAACCTACTGTGTTCTGTACTGATTTATTGTCTCCCCAGTGAGAAGGTCAGCTCTGTGAAGGTGAGGAGTTTTTTTATCCATCATATTCCTTGCTGAGTTCACACATCTCGCAGGTACTCAGTAAATATTTGATGAATGAATTGTTGGGTGAGAGGAGGGAAGAAAGAGGTCATTTCTATAGGATGTGACAACTGATATGGGGAAGGAAGGACCAAAGATACTTTTAGGGTTTTGACCTCAGTGAATGGGGAGAGGAACTAGTTGAGAGAGGCCGAGGAATAAATTCTAAATGCGAGTTTCCCAAGAACATCTGGAACCATTGCACGTGGTCCTTTGCTTTGTTTTAAAACAAGTATAGTTTGAGGTATTAGGGTCAATTTTTGACTCAGCAAAGTGGGACCACTGTCTACAGGCCTGGGCCATGTCCTGGTAGCCATCTCATCAGCAAAACT